AAGTTTTTACGTTCTGGGCGTTTGCGGTTTAGAATTGGCATGGACATTTTTAACGTCTTGGCTTGAGATCAAAAGCTGTCTACTACCCGCTACTAGTTGCTGCTAATTAGTGAAACCAATGACCGGAAAAACGGAAACTAGCAGCCACATTCTGAAGGCGAATGCTAAAACCCAGCTCAAAGCGTACATAACATGAAGGTTTCTAAAATATGAAAGGAAAATTTGACATTTCTGTGAAACGTCCACAGTATTTTGAGGTATTTGATCCTCACGACAGCCAAATTTACATTAAACCGGAATCTTTTGTGAACCAAACATCTCCCTAAGCAGTTGACTATTCAACGAACGTTTTGGCTAAGAGAATCACATTACTCATTCTATATCTGGTAATTTCTGCTTTTCTTCTCAATTGTTTTTAGGAACTAAAAACGATCTGTACTATATGATTGCATTCGACGAAGTGGAACGCAAACCTAATTCTGACCTGTGGCTTTTCAGAGTTGGTTTCCCTGTGCACAGTTCTAGGCCGAAAAAACCACATTCCTGTAAGGACACCAAAATGGCCACCCCGCTTAATTTTTTCAGGGGCATGTCACGGCCAGTAAACTGGTACGGTTTAATGCTAAGACATGTGATAAGACATGTGGCGAACATGTGAGTATGTGAGCAGGCTATGTGAGCTCGTCTTTCCGATGGATCTTTTTTTGACTTCTTTCCATTCAGTCGCCGTACGCCTCGGTATTATGTGCTCTCAGCGTTAGATTTTGGCGAATTTAAACGCTTCGACGGCAGCATTTATCGACATCTGAGGGAATTGTCCTTGTTTATTAACACGACTTGGCTTTGGGATGATAACCGTGGGAACAGCTACATTTTGATTGCATTTGTTGATTAGTTTCAGNCAGCCAAATTTACATTTAACCGGAATCTTTTGTGAACCAAACATCTCCCTAAGCAGTTGACTATTCAACGAACGTTTTGGCTAAGAGAATCAAATTACTCATTCTATATCTGGTAATTTCTTCTTTTCTTCTCAATTGTTTTTAGGAACTGACTAAAAACGATCTGTACTCTATAATTGCGTTTGACGAAGTGGAACGCAAACCTAATTTAGACCTGTGGCTTTTCAGAGTTGGTCTCCCTGTGCACAGTTCTAGGCCGAAAAAACCACATTCCTGTAAGGACACCAAAATGGCCACCCCGCTTGACTTTTGCAGGGACATGTCACGGCCAGTAAACTGGTACGGCTTAATGTTAAGACATGTGATAAGACGTGTGGCGAACATGTGAGTATGTGAGCAGGCATGTGAGCTCGTCTTTCCGATGGATCTTTTTTTGACTTCTTTCCATTCAGTCGCCGTACGCCTCGGTGTTATGTGCTCTCAGCGTTAGATTTTGGCGAATTTAAACGCTTCGACGGCAGCATTTATCGAAATCTGAGGGAATTGTCCATGTTTATTAACACGACTTAGCTTTGGGATGATAACCGTGGGAACAGCCACATTTTGATAGCATTTGTTGACTAGTTTCAGTCGCGACAGGTAGCTCGGTCTTTATCCGGTCGAAATTTTATTGTTTGGCATCGGTGGAAAAGTACTCTGAAGGCAAGATCCATAAGAATACTTTATTCATCAGGGGAAATACTCGAATTAGTCGCACGGAGTTTGTTTACGATAAATGACCACGCGAA